AGAAGAAGTGATTTTTGGGAAATTCTAAGAGAAGAGTTACTATAGTATCTTCAAAGACAAGTTGAGGACTTTAGTAAAGAAGTGATTTTCAGAAATATCAAAGAGAAAGGAATTTTGGTGGAGTGTGTCATTTTTATATAGTATTATATGAAAATTTATTTTTCGCCAAACCTGATTATTTTACGGGGTTGGGTAGTACTTACTTAGCTCTAAAGCTAATTTTTGTTTTCTTTTCTTTGTTTTGTTTTCTGCACTTTATTTGTGCAGGTGATGATGACTATGTTGATTGTTGATTGCATGCGTTCGAGAGCGGTTGCTAGATGCCTTAGTAAAACCTAAACATGAATGAACATTTTAGTTACATTGAACATTTGTTTCTTCATATCACAATTAATTATGACTGTTTTGTTTTAGTTGCCTGTGCATCCGGTTAAGAGATGACCGGATGTGGCGGTAACACCCATTTCCCCATTTTAATTATTTTCGCTGCAAATTTTTTTTTATCGATTTCGAATGAATAATGCAAGTTTATTATCAATAAATTATTATTTCAAGTATTATTTTTGGGCGGGAAATTGGGGGTGTTACACATAGGCCACCAATGAACCCCTCAAATTTGATTTTCCAGTTCGACAGCACGATGTCGACCACCAGAAACTCCATGCTATCACCAATAGCCATCTGTTTCGTCAAAGCTCGTTCCCAAACTGCCTAAGAATAATAGGCTGGCTTCGTCTTCAACATTCTGCACCACCCCATCTTCCCCCTTGCTAAACTCGTCCCCTGCCAAAATCAGAAGCCTCGAACCCTCCTGAAAGCTTCCTCGCTTGTTCGCTGCTCTTGTAAAGCAGAAAAACCAAGAGCTTCATCCTGACATAATCCGGATTCACCGCAATTGCAAGTCAGAAAGAAAACAAAAACGAACCAAACAAACCCCGCGATGACAACCAAACTCAATACCCTGAGAAGATATATGATATAAGTTGCCTACCGGGGAGACATCGGCCGAACCCACGGCTTGGGTAGGCCGCCGCCGGAAAAAACCCTAGGACGTGCCTAGGAGACGACCATATTTTTTTTGTACTCTGGATTTTGAAAGTATCGAGTTGGCAAGGAGGTTTGTTTTTATGAAGTTATGGTTAAATTGGATGGATTAGCATGTTCTATTGAATTACGAAAAAATGAAATTTAAAAACATATTTTATTAATAAAATAAAATAAAAAATTATTTGAAAAATAGCTAAAATAGTAACCCCAACCTTACTTATTTTGATTATTACACGATTCAAGGCGCAAAATCAAAAGTTACGTGTTTGGTGTAGCGATGAATTCGGTTCGGGCCGCCTGGCCCGTGACCCGGCCCGGCCCGGTACTGTGCAGGCCCGGGACTGGCCCGGTCTGGCGGTCCGGGACCGGGTGTGGATCCGAACCGGTGGGGGAAGCGGTGGCGGGCTCGGTTCCTGCAAAAATGTGACCCGGTCCGGCCGGGTCGGGCCCGGGTCCGGGTCACAACGGCTAGTTTTAGAAAAAATTATTTGGGCCAAAAAATAACCGTTGGATTGGGCTGGGGACAACCCAAACGGCTATATAGCCGTTGGGTGGGCTGCAGGGGGTCTGGGCGGTTTGGGGGGTGGGGGGTAAAAAAACCTATAAATACTCCTAATCTTAAACATTTTTCCATATCTCTTCTCCAACTCTTCCTAAATTCTACTCTTAACTCTCTACTCTCTAATTGTCTTCATCTTCTCAAATTCTCTTATTCTCCAATATATTATATTTATATATCTACTTTATATTAATTATCTACTTATAATTTATAAATACATACATTATACTTATATTTCTTATCTAATTATATATTACTTATACATTTATTATATCTATTAATATAGTTGGAATTATATCTAATTAATTTGAAGTTATTCTATTACTCCCATCCGAAAGACCGAAAGTCCGAAAGAGGTACGAAATCATTCTATTATTTACACTTGTTTAATTTTGTATTAAAATTACTTGAAAAAAAAAGTTAATTCTCATTATAGTTAAAGTTAAACTATAATAATTTGATTGTTAGTAAAAAAATAGGTAGTACAAAAAACTAGTTGATTAGTTAATTAGTTTTCACACGAATTGTATAATTTTTCATTAAAGTAGTTAATTACTTTATTACAATTTTTTATTAATTGCTACCTTTGACTCTAGTTTAAAAAACTAGTTAATTCTCATTATAGTTAAAGTTAAACTATATTAATTTGATTGTTAGTAAAAAAAATAGGTAGTACACAAAACTAGTTAATTCACTAGTTAATTTGACTATTTATTAAACAATAGTATTGCTATAAGTTTTGGTTCAATTCATATTTTTTTACTTCACATTTCACTCGAATTAAAGAATTTTGCTATAACTCGAATTAATAGTTAGAATTTTATTTTATTAAAGTAAACTTTTTAGATTGAAGTATTATTTAAAATAGTTTTAATTACTCTTATTAATATAATTGTTGCAATTTAATATTTGTTACATTTTTTAGATGGATCGTCCTAGATATTCGGTTGATATGGGTAACCTCGAGCGCAACCGAACGAAAGAGTTTGCGAGGAAGAGATCCCGCAAAGGTAAATCACATATCGGCTCTTCATCTCAAAGTCGAGATGATTTTGATACGGGTTACGCAAGGAGGGATGGGGATGCGATGACCGACGAACAACTAGAACAAGAATTACGGGTTAACATATGATGATTTTGAAGAAGATGGTGATTTTGACGTACTAAACCGGTTTCAACAGTTGTCGTGGAACAAGAATTTAGTTCGGCCGGCAATGTCCTAACGCAATGTAGAACGAGGTTGAGCGCAGAATCTCTTGAGATGCTTATATGCTACCACGATTGGTTGAAAGCGGCCCGTAGAGCTCAAGAAATTGACATCACCTCATCCCAACACTTTATGGATGAATCTAAAACCGAGAGTGGCTCTACCTATGTCGGAGATTCCGATTGATTAATTTTACCTTCAATTCTCAATTGTAACTTGTAAGCATATTAAGTCATGTGACAAAGCCAAAGGACCGGGAGGTGCGAGAAGTTCCGATTGATTACAATTTACAAAATGTATTTCATATTGTATGTTTTTCTTAATTGTCAAATGTAGTTCCTATTTCATTTCAAATAAATGCACTTGAAGTTTGTTTTTAATACTTGTATAAAACTATAAAGTATAAATTATAAAAAATGGATTTAACCGGCCCGGCCCGGAGGGGTGGCTCGACCTGTGACCCGGGCGGGTGGCCCGGCCCGAACCGGACCCGCCCTTACCTCGGGCCGGTCCCGGTTCCATCGCTTACAAACCGGCGGCCCGACCGGTCCCGACCCGGCCCGAGTCCATGTCTAGTCTGGTGTAAAAGTTGATCGATAAGGCTGATAAGATGAAAAACATGATCACCAAACAACTCCTAATTAAAATCATATAGTTGCCGATACACCCACATGATGCCAGGGCGCCTTTCCCCATAGCAAGTCTATTGGGGAGACATCTAATTCTTGATTCTCTAACTGCCAATTTCACTTGACCCTCTACTGCTAGATTTTGCATTGAAATTGATGTTTCAAAAACACTCCCATCTAAAATCTGGATTGGTAATGGAGACCAAGGATTTTTTCAATCTGTGTTGTATGAAAATCTTCCTGTTTTCTGCACTTTCTGTTCTCGATTTGGCCACAGCAAACCACAATGCACCTGCTTGAAAGAACCAAGGCCCATCAATCAATGATGCCATTACAAGCTGAGGTTTCTTTCTCGCTTGAACCTGTTGCTTTTGATGTCAATGATGATGCTCGTGTGGATAATACCCCTGTTACTGGCAAGGATTTTGATTTCACTGTTGTTGCTCAGGATATTGCTTCTCTTGAACATGTTCTTGATGCCACGATACATGTTTGTGTTGAACATGTTGGTGGCTTACTGGCAAGGACTTCACACTCGATGATCACAAGATGTCAATCCCGAAAACCGCAAAATGAATTTGACTACTTCCTTTACCCATTGGACGTGAGGCTCTACTCATGACACAAACTTGCTCAAGCTCTAAAGCGCTTCAAATCCTCCCACCCGGACGCAAATACTACCAACCTATCTTCAGAAGGCGATTAAGTTTCATAATAAATTCAATAGGTCCATCTCAACTTCGGTTGGGATATCTTCGAAGAACTTTTATTGTTAATGCTTTCCTTTTCTCTTTTGAGTATCTTGCATTTTTCCCTTGTAACTTTCATTACCTTTTTTTCCTAATAAATTAAGGAAGTGTTCGCAGCACTGCCTCCACCACGAGTGGTTTGCTCTGAGACAAACAAAAAAAATAATCTCTATGTACCTATGTAGCACTGATACTTTACTAGGGTACTGTATCGGCGTATCAAAAACATTCTCATATCAGATACTCTAGTATACCCATATTGTACATTCTCTGACAGTATATACAATTTATTAAAAAAAATCAACTTCTTTGGTAACTATTTTAAAATTTTGGATACACGTATCCTGATGAAGACTTATCAACTTAGTTTATAATGAACACACCCAAGAATTAAATAGTAAGTCTTATAATATTTATTAAAACTTTTATTTTTTATTAAAACAATATTTTCCATCTTCATTGATAATCTTTTATTCAATAATTTTGAGTACTTCCATTTCTAAATTCAAAAATATGGGTAATTGACTTGTTTCTATAACTTGTAGTGATCGACATATATTCAGTTTACATTGTTTTGATAGTAACTAGATTTACTAAATAAATGTTTTAGTCCATAATAAAATAAAAATGATGAACAAAAATGGATCTTATAAAAATTAATATTAAATCACTGATAGCCTGATTTGTTTGGAGAATAAGGCTCGGATGTTGTTGTATCACTAATAGCCTCATGATAATTTCCGTAATTTTGAATTTTATTTCATTAATATTTTAGGGAAAAGTCTACGAACAATGAAATCAACATTCCGATTGTAACATATTTACACATATCAGATAACAAAACTGATCGCATCATAAAAATTGAGAGAGAAACATTCAAATTAGGTTCTAAGACCCATGAACAACAGGAGGTAAACTTACAATGGAAGGAAGAGAAATCCCGCAGCCAAGATGTGAATAGAGTTATAGAACCAACTTAAGGCCAAACCATCACCATTAAGATTTACTGATGCGAATTATGAAACCAATGAAATAGGTTATACATGCTAGAAAAAGAAAAGTAAAATGAGTACTTTAGTCCCTTTGAAAATATGTTCAGTCTACCACCACCTTTCATCCCTTCACTTCAACATTGACCAATTCATACTCGACTAAAGAAAGATTGTTATCCTCTTTAACATCAATAATAGCAGGTTCTTCAGTTACCTCAACACGTCCCCATTTGTCTACTGCTAAACGCATTGAGCCCTTAAACATGTCTATCTTTGCATTCCGGATAATCACGGTATTGCCAGGTGTCATTGTGTCAACTGCACTCAAAGGAAACAAGACAAAAATAACGATTTACATACAATACTTAATACGAAGTATAAAAACCCACTGAAGAAATAGAAATACTGTAGCATTCATTATATATCTCTGTTACAACCAAAAACAAAGATTCAAGAGAATATGATCCTGCTTCCTACATAATGGGATTAAAGAAAGCACTAATGACGATAATTGTAGTAATTTAATTCTTGCCCCAACTATCCAATGCTTGCAATGTGAACAAAGAATCTTAAGAGTTTGAGAGTTGAAAACTTGTGCATTTACACTTCCATAGAGGCAACTACCAGAGCTGTACATATTCCTTAACCTTCGCAGAACAATGCAGGGCCAGGAGTTCTTTCAATGCAAGTCAAGTGATGTTATCCAGCATCAGTTGCCATAACATAGAAATGTTGACCTTTTCTTCACTTTGATTACGACATCACAGTAATATATTTCTAGACTAGAAGCGTGAAGCGCTACCCAAAAGTAAATCGTAAGCTCTGCTAATTTGTACTATCAATTTTGAAACAGGAAAAATCAAATTTTCAAAACACGTACTCATACAGTTGTAGATGGACAATGATGTCACAAGATACATGCGAATAAACATATCCACCTTGATCGTTCCGGGCAGTGAAAATGATTGTCCCAGTCTCATCACCCACAAGGCACTCAGCTATACGGGCAGGGGGGGCGGAACGAGCAATGAGAGACATCGACGCCCGTCCGCCGCTGCCTCTCCTTCCACCTCCGCCGCCGCTGCTTTTGATAGCGGTTGAACTGATAACCTTCACCGTGAGAGTGTGGCCGTTAGTCCCAGGTTTCAGGCTGTCGACTTTAACGAACACCGGCTTCCTCTTTTCACCAGATCCTGCTGCCGCTGTAGCCATATCTCTGACCTGGAATTCGAACTTTAAAACCCTAATCGCGGAAAGAGCAATAAGCTGTAGGGTTTTTTAAGGTTCATGAGTTGGTGGTAATGTGCCACAAAATTGCATTTTTCAGCTTCGAACGCCTCATTTCTTGCAAATTTATTTTGGGCTGCAAAAGAACAAATGGCCCAAAAACTCTCCAATGGTTCGTTACTTTGTTTGGCTCTACGATGTAAAAGATTATTCCTTCAAGAGAACTAAATACTCCCTCCGTTCCTAAAAAATCTTCTCGGTTTGACTTGGCACGCTTATTAAGAAAGTGGAATAAAGTGGAAATGTATGGTTGTGGTTGTGTAACAAAAAGGTAAAATGAATGTGAGCCACACAAATTGTCCAAAATGGGAAAGTGAGAAGTATTTTTGGGAACAACCCAAAAAGAAAAGTGGGAAGTATTTTTGGGAACGGAGGGAGTATAACTAAGTCCCTGTTTATTTTGAACTTAATGGACTGAATTGAACGAGTGACTTATTCGGTCAATTATACACTTTTATTTACTAGGGACTTAATACAAATTCTGACTTATTCGGTCAGACATTTTCTAACTTATTCGTTCACCTCCGTTTTCAATGTCCTTCGGATTCAGACATCCAATTTTATTAGAGTGTCCTGTTTAACCCTGAATTCTCTGCTTCTACCTTCTTTGTTGATACATGCCTTCATCGTAGACATTTACCTTCTCTTCACCTATCTTCAGTGCGCTTACTTTCTTCTTCACCTCTCTTGATTATCTAATAATGTTTTGCCTGTTGTTCCTTTTCTTTATTAGAAAGTGTAACATTCAACCTGACTTATTCAATGAATGGGCAATGATACCATATTCAACAATGAAGCACAAGACTAAAAGAGAGAGGTGGAGATATTGGACAAGTTGATAGTGCATAATGGTGTACCCAAAATCTACAATGTATGATAAATTGTCAAATAAAATTGTTAATAGACTAGTAGGAAAATATTTAAATTTAAAATGTTGTTGTCGTAGTACTCTTAATTTTTTCTTATCATATGAAATTATCTTTCAGAACAAGAAAAATAAACAGAAAATATATATTCATCACTTGTTCTAGACAAAAGGGTTATTTAGTCATTTAACATAATTAGACTTCTCATTCAGCACACATAGTAAACAGTTTATTATCTCGGTGTCACTAAATCTAGAAAGACGTCTTAATCCAGAAAGAAGTCTTAATCCATTCAGGACTTAATGGAAAAAAGTAAACAACCTCTAAAAAGATATTAGCAAAACAAAATCATCCTTGATGAGAAAAATTAAAACTTTCCCCAGCCAACATGTGTTGATGGCCAGGACTTCTCAGTCCCCGATGTCCAGGGCTTCTCAATCGACGATGATATGCGATAACTGCATGCACTATCCAACCTCCAGCAAGTTCGCCGCAGCCACTTCCCTTCAGCAAGTTCGTCAATTCCATCCTTCGACGAATTTGCCACTCTCCAAATAGTCTGCTAACTCCTTGCAGACACCCAACGAGAATGTCACTAAATAAGAATAATGACATAAGAACGACATTTTCATATAGAAAAATGGCATTTTCAGATGTTGAAAAATAAATGCATTCCCATATTTTTCCATTTTCAAAGGAAATTACATAATCATGAGATTATAATTGAAAGTCTAAGATATGAGAAAAAAATGAAAAATGAAGTCATAAATAATTTGTCTTTTGTTCATTTAGTCTCATAAAAAAGACATCATTTGGAATACATGTCAAATGTCAAATGAAATGACAAAAAAGTGACAATTTTTAAAATTAACAAATAACTATGACATTCTCGGATTATAAAAGTGACTTTTTTCTTGATAATTAGTAATTCAGGCATTCTCATAATAAAAAATGATGATAAATAAATAAAATATCAAATTGGAGTATTTTCAATCAATTGTTTTTTGAAATCTAGTCTTCATCTAAAATTTTCAAATCCAAATTTTAATTTGATAGAAATTAAAGAAACGGAAATCAAGAATAGTAATTAACAATAAACGGAAATCATAATAATAATGATAAAATAATAATAATAATAATAATAATAATAAAATAATAATAATAATAGAAATTATAGTAATAATAATAATAAGAATAATAATAGTAGTAGTAATAATAATAATGATAATGATAATGATAATGATAATGATAATGATAATGATAATGATAATGATGATGATGATGATGATGATGATGATGATGCCATCATCATCATCATCATCATCATCATCATCATAATAATAATAATAATAATAATAATTATTATTATTATTATTATTATTATTTGACATTTTATAATCCGAGAATGTCATAGTTATTTGTTAATTTTAAAAATTGTCACTTTTTTGTCATTTCATTTGACATTTGACATGTATTCCAAATGATGTCTTTTTTATGAGACTAAATGAACAAAAAAAACTTTCTCTCCCTTCTTTCTCTCTCTTCTTTCTCTCTCTTCGCTCTGGCGATTCATGGCCGATTCTTGAGTTTCAGAGGGGGGAGATCGAAATCCCCTCCTGTTTCTCTTGATTCTTCGTGAATCCGTTCTTCTTCCTTGTCGACTGTTCTCTGATTTCGCTGATTTTCGTTTTCCGGCTGGTTTCCTCTTTGAATCAATCCTTGAATTGGTTGATATATTACGCGATTCTTGAATCCGGTTCTTGATTTCTGGTTTTATCTCAACCAATTTCAGGACTGATTCAATCCTTATGTCGATTTCGGGCAACAAACAGGTTCAGGAGGGTTCTATTGATGCGGTTGGGGGGGTTGATTTGATACCTAATTCCCAATTGAGAGATAGTAATTTTGCCAGTAGAATTATACATTGTCCATTTCGTGGTTTTGATAACTGCACTGATGGTATTAATGGCAGGGGGCTCAAACACTCATCATTTTGCAGACACCTTGAGGATTTCCACTTTGCCCATGGGGCTGGACATGATACCTGCAAGAAAAGGCTGAGTAGTGACAATGTTTTATGGGCTGCTTTGGAATCTGTTTTGCAACAAATGAGATGTTGGCTGTGTTCCCAGTGTATGAAGCTCCATTCATGGAATAAAGGTTGCAACAAACTTGAGGTAATTGAAGCTCCTCTTAAATTGGGTGTATTGGAATTCCTAATCCATGGTATAGATAAACCCTCTACTGTCATTGATGAGCTTGATGTATCTAGTTCTGGTAGTACTTTGCATCTTAATGTGGAATTACTTCAGCTTGTCTTTTGTACTCAAACACATACTGCCAGGCATATACCCCCTCAATGTAGGTTGGCCTTTTCTAGGGCCTTCCAACATGCTATGGATAAAGTTTTACTCAATCCCATGGACATTGTTTGCTGGATTAGACTCCTTCTTTTCCCAGTTTGCATCCTTAGAGTCTATTCCCCTAAAACTAGTGCAGAGCAAAGATCTGGCAATAGAAGGAAACTGCAAATTAAAGCTATTCATCATGCCTTACATAAATGGGGGGCAGGTGAGGGTTGTATTGATCTTGTACAGGAATTACTTGATGATAGTAAAACCTCTAAGCCTGCATCTGGTCTTGGAAAGAATCAGAAAAATGTTAACACTCAGCTTTGTAAAAGAAAGTTAGCCTCAGGTGCTTACACTGCAGCTATTAGGGTTTTAACTTCAAATGGTGTTGCCCCTGCCAATGATTTAACCCTTTCTATCCTCCAATCCAAGCATCCATCTGCACCTCCACCTGCTTTTGTTTCTGATCTTCATAATGTGCAACCTCTTGTTGCAGACTCTGAATTGGTTTTTAGCAGATTGTGTAGTTTTCCAAAAGGGACTAGCTGTGGAAGAGATGGACTTCATGCCCAACACATCCTTGATGCTCTCACTGGTCCAGCTGCAGCCATTGCCAATGAAGTTCTCACCTCAATCACAGCTATTGTCAACCTTCTGTTGTCTGGAAGTTGCCCAACTCAGCTTGGTAAATTTATTGCAAGTGCACCCTTAACTCCCTTACTTAAACCAGATGGTGGGGTGAGGCCTATTGCTGTGGGAACTATTTGGAGGAGATTGGTTTCCAAGGTAGCAGCTTCTATGGTTAGCAAAGAGATGGCTACCTATTTGGGTAATTATCAATATGGAGTGGGAGTTAAATGTGGGGGTGAGGCTATTTTACACTCTGTTAGCCGTATTGTGCATGATTTAGGGAGTGATAATTCCAGATCTATGCTTCTAGTTGACTTCCAAAATGCCTTTAATATGGTAGACAGATCCTTTATGCTCCATGAGGTCTTCATTAGGTGCCCAAATATCTATCATTGGGTACGCTTCTGTTACTCTTCCCCTGCCAAGTTATATTACAATTCACACACATTAGCTTCTTCACAGGGTGTGCAGCAGGGTGACCCCCTAGGACCCCTCCTTTTTGCTCTCACCTTGCATCCTATTGTCCTCAAAGTCTCTCAAATGTGCAAACTTGACCTACAAGCATGGTACCTAGATGATGGTACCTTGATTGGAGATACTTTGGAAATTTCAAAAGCCTTGCATATTATCCAAAGTGAAGGTAGAGCAAGAGGTCTAATTTTGAATGTTGAGAAGACAGATATCTATTGGCCATCTCCTGATCCTCGTAGATTGCAGAGTGGTGTCTTTCCTGCTAACATTGGTAATCCTGTTGATGGTGTAAAGCTTTTGGGGGCACCTATTAGCTTAAATAAGGAATTCTGTGTTAATATGGTCATTAATAGGGCTCAAAAAGTAATGAATCTTATGTCTGCAGTTGGTACTATTAAAGACCCCCAGTGTGAGTTACTTCTCCTAAGAAATTGTGTTGGAGTTTCTAAATTGTATTTCACTTTGAGAACTACTTGCCCTGATTACATCTTACCAGCACAATCCTTATTTGATGATTATCTCTTCAACTTTCTGCATAACCTTATCCTTGGTAAAGGTGCTGGGTTTGGACCTCTACAATATAGCTTGGCTACCTTGCCTATACATGAAGGGGGCCTAGGGATTTACTGTTTGAAAGATACCTTAGTATATTGTTACCTTGCTTCTCATATTCAAACTAATAGTCTGCAGGCTCAAATCCTTAGCCATACCTCAGTTTCTGAGTGTTTTCCTCCATTGCAGCAAGCTCAATGCATGTTTAACCAGGCTTGTGGCCTCCTTGCCTCTCAGGATAATATTGTGT